GGGGGGTGGGCTTGTGCGGGATAGTCGAGGAAATTTTGTATTCGGCTACGCGGAGCCCTTCGGGTGATAACCAGCATGCAGGCGGAACTTCGAGCGTTGCTATGGGGCGTTAGACATTGTGTGATTCGAGGGTGCTTGGAGTTACACTTAGAGGCGGATTCTCTCACCCTGGTTCACATTGTTCAAGGGACTAGTGCTTGTCCTTGGCGTTTACAGAGAGATCTGGATGAGTTGATGATGTTCAAGCAATATTTCACATCGATCACACACTGCTACAGGGAAGCAAACGCACCTGCAGATCATTTGGCAAATTTTGGTGCTGATTCTAGTGCAGGTCATGTGTTTAATACATTCTCAGAATTGCCGCAATTGGTTAGGGGGCTATTAGATTAGATCGATTAGGATTTCCTACGTTTCGTACACGTGTCTGGCATGAATTGGAATAAGAAGCAGAAAAGGCCAATGAAGGTGAAAATGGCGGTTAGAAGGACATCAAGGGAGGAAGATTGACTGCTAAAATCTTCAAAGATCATCCTTCAGATTCACTGGAAGACATCCTGATATGGAAAAATGAAGATTTAATCTTAATTTTAGTTTTTAAATGCTTAAACTTTCACTAGCTTGTAAATTTATTGTCAAATTGTGGTTTGATGGCAGGGAGTTTCGTCCTTTTTTAAGGGGAAACTCTGCCGAAATTTTTATAAAATAATAAAATTTCAATTAAAAAAAAAAAAAAACATTGCATGGTCGTCCATCCACATTGTTTCAAAGAATTGAACTCCAAAATAGTTCTCCGACCATCACATCTCCAAATAAGTTCACTTGTGCTTCAAACAATTCGGCAGTACTTGTTCACAAGAAAGACTAATTAAAGAAAATTCTACTACATATTTGAAATTGGATTTTTTGTCAGCACAATTATCATCCTTTTCTTTTGATTCTTGTGGTTAATCGCACTATTGTTGTCTAGATAATAGGAGACGCCTGCATACAGCCGCCAAATGACAAATCTCTTAAGTTCCTTGACTAGAGAAAGCAAATTTACAAATGCTTTTGTAAATTAAAGGATGCAGTATAATTTTTAAGTTTTTTAAATAAATTCGGGTATCTCCAATTCAAATTTGAAAGTGATTTAGATTTCTGTAAGTCTAATAATCAAATTTATCAAATTCATATAACCGAATTACCGAATATGCACCGTTGCTCATCCCTAACAGAAATTATGCTAGCACCAGATAGTGAACCTTGCTGAAAAATAAGCCTGTTTCTTGCTTTCCACAATTGGTACACCACTAGCAAACACAAGTCTCTTCACCTGGTCCGTAAAAGAGTTTGAGAGGTACAATGATCGCGAGCATGGGATTTTTTTCGGATCTTTCTATTTTTTGACAAAATAAGGAGAAACTCAAGGCTATCATTAGCGACCCGGTCTTTTTGCCATGTGTCCCAATTATCCGGTAAATCTCACAATCATTGAAACAATAGTTGCAAGGTACTGCCATCCGGGATCCCAAGTTTGGCAGAGGATGGTCACAATGCAGCGTTTTGGGGAGGATAATATTAGCTGGGTAGTTCGGGAGGGGCTTTGGACTTTTGGCATGATAATTGGATGGGGTCAGGTGCGCTTTGTGACAAGGTTGAGGTCTTCCATGATCATTCGGTGGTTGATTTTGTAGATCGGCGGGCTTGGAATGTGGACATGCTCCATCAATTCTTGGATGGAGAATTGGTTACGCAGGTTTTGGAGATTGACCCTCCTACCGATAGGGGAAATGATACAATGGTATGGGCATTGACGAACTCGGGTGTTTTTTCCACTGCATCGGCTTACTCATTGATCCGTCAATCCAATGACAATTCTTGGCTTTTTGGTCGTATATGGCAGCAGGGTCTTCCAGTCAAGGTTTCTTTCTTTATGCTGCGACTACTACAGGGGAGGCTTCCTCTTATGGATCGCCTAAAGAGGTTTGGGGTTTGTGGCCCATCTAGATGCTTGTGTTGTCAGAATCCCCAGGAGGAGGATTTGAATCATGTGTTTTGCTCAGGAGAAGGGGCACGATTGGTCTGGCGACACTTCGAGAGTACTGCTGGTGAGTTTAGTGGGGTGCATACGGTGCGTCATATGGTGTGGTCTTGTTGGTTAAGGAGGGGGACTAATGATCGTGTAAAGTTTTTGCATAATATATTTCCTTCGGTGGTATGCTGGGTTTTATGGAAGGCTAGGAATGAAGGGGTGTTTGAAGGTCGGAAAATGAGGATCAGGCCTACGGTGAATCGGATTGTTCAGTTTCTGCATGATTTCCTTCAGTCACGGTTCCCGGGGTGCAGCCTTCTGCCCCTACATGGGAAGGGTTGCTTCTCGAATTAGGTAGTCATCAAAGGCGGATGGTTATTAGGCCAGTTTACTGGGTAACTCCACGTAGAGGCTATAAGTTGAATTCAGATGGATGTTCTCGGGGAACCCAGGAAGGAGTGGGGGGGTGGGCTTGTGCGGGATAGTCGAGGAAATTTTGTATTCGGCTACGCGGAGCCCTTCGGGGTGATAACCAGCATGCAGGCGGAACTTCGAGCGTTGCTATGGGGCGTTAGACATTGTGTGATTCGAGGGTGCTTGGAGTTACACTTAGAGGCGGATTCTCTCACCCTGGTTCACATTGTTCAAGGGACTAGTGCTTGTCCTTGGCGTTTACAAAGAGATCTGGATGAGTTGATGATGTTCAAGCAATATTTCACATCGATCACACACTACTACAGGGAAGCAAACGCACCTGCAGATCGTTTGGCAAATTTTGGTGCTGATTCTAGTACAGGTCATGTGTTTAATACATTCTCAGAATTGCCGCAATTGGTTAGGGGGGCTATTAGATTAGATCGATTAGGATTTCCTACGTTTCGTACACGGTGTCTGGCATGAATTGGAATAAGAAGCAGAAAAGGCCAATGAAGGTGAAAATGGCGGTTAGAAGGACATCAAGGGAGGAAGATTGACTGCTAAAATCTTCAAAGATCATCCTTCAGATTCACTGGAAGACATCCTGATATGGAAAAATGAAGATTTAATCTTAATTTCAGTTTTTAAATGCTTAAACTTTCACTAGCTTGTAAATTTATTGTCAAATTGTGGTTTGATGGCAGGGAGTTTCGTCCTTTTTTAAGGGGAAACTCTGCCGAAATTTTTATAAAATAATAAAATTTCAATTAAAAAAAAAAAGAATTCTTAAAAACCCTTGTGATTTTGGATTCGAATCTTATCCTAAACTTGAATCCCTTTAACTCGTCCGGGATAGTTGCGTGGGGCCGTGGCGCACTCCTCCGATTTGATATGCCGACTTGGATCTTAAGGGTTCAAGTCGAGAGGCATGTTCCGGATTACAAAATAAAAAATAGTTGCAAGATACTATATTGAAAGATATACTCTTTTCCATGGGATCATGATTCTGAAAAACTAAAAACAATAGTTCTTTAATTTTCCTTTGATATCAACACACTTCACCCGTTTAAAATGATAAAAGATGAGAATAAGTTTTCATGAAAGTAATTTTTTTTCCATGCTACTCATTCCCGGTATCCACATATAATGGGTTTGCATTATCCTTTTTTCTTGTTGATTTAATCTCCATTAAAAAGCATACGCCGTTGATTCAATTCCCATTAAAAAGTTTCTTTTCATTTTTTTTGTTCCCCTCGATAGCAATGCTATCATACAAGTGGAACTGAAAATGAGAGACATGCAACAAAAAGTAGGAAGGGATAGGTGAAAGATTGGGACACATGACAAAAACACATGGGAAAGGGGCCGAGGATTGGAACTGCAGCGAACTTGGGTATATGTCAAATCATATAAGAATGCAAATTCTAATTTTACAATGATTGTGTTAAACAAAATTGATCCAAAACGGAAGGGAGATTATATTAAAAGGTGGATTTGCTTCAAAAATCTAGGCAAGTGTATAGTATATTCGTTTGATCCAGTTCTTTTCGAGTTACCTCTAAATCTTCTTAGGTCCACTCTCTCTCCCTAGTATAGGATAGATTAAGATATACTACAGTTATCGTTTCCGATAAAAAAAAAAAAAAAAAAAAGGGAAGGGAGGATTATATACTTGATACATCCTCGGAAATAAATACATGTTATCACTTCTGCATAAGCTTTCGCTTGAACATTGAGCCAAATACAAACATATTATCATAGTTTTGCCATAATTTTGTGAGAAAGATCTTAAATTGCTGTCAAGTGGCATAAAACTTACCAATAGAATATCAAAAGTTGGTTTGTGGCAAAGATCTTTTTCTTATTTTTTTTTTCTTTCTTAGGTATGGAGTAGTCATTTTGAAACGCAGATGAAAAGAAGAGAACCAAAAAATAAACAAGAACTACCAAGAAGTCGTACATATATTTGCCCAACTATATACATCTTCTGCATACACAATTGCCACCCACACCCGTACACATACAAACACCAACCGGATTGTTGTAATTTACCTGCACACATGACGCGAATGTTTGATAACTAATCTTGATTTGAATTTAAATTTAATGTTTTATATATTTAATATGTACGCGCTTCTATTAAAGTATATACTGTCAATATAAAGCTCGTTAAATATTAACTAATTAATGAAAATATTTGAGCTTTTAAAAACTATGTAACTTCGTTGTCATTTGACTCTCGTTGTCTTTAATTTGCTTGGCCTCCCTGCCTCTTCCTTTTTACTCCTCCTCTGCTTATAAAAACCTTGAAATTAAAACATAACATAAAATAAAAGGAACACACGGACTAGCATGCAGTTATTAGGTGGCTTCAAATTAAAAAACCTTGATGCAGGTACTTAATTTGTGTTTTATGGGTACACTTTGGAGAAAGACCAAGTCCCAGAACGAAAAAATTAATCAAGGATGAGTACCTCTATTGAATGAAACAAACTTTGATCAGGTTCAATCAGATTCAGCAAAGCTCTCGATCGAACTTCGGCACTTACTCAAGAAGTACTTAGACAGATTAAGATGCATCTTCCAGCGTCATTGCACAGCTCAAAGCAATTCTTGATGTTGCAACTCTGAGGAGAGCCAGAGTTGTAACAAAGAATCTTCCACGAACAAAACAGCAAAATGACTTGAAATAGAACCAACATGACCAAGCAGAACATAGAAGTAATTCGTCCCCTTTCGCGTTTCTCTTTCAGAAAAGGTGGCATGACCAGTAAACATAGAACACTATCTTTATGTCACTCACTATACTTCACTAATACTTCTGCAGGTGACAGACAGACTATACACTTAATGACTTAATGGCATAATCATGCTAAAGGTTACAATATTCTGATGAATATTGTTCGTCAATTATGATACAAGTTGGGTTGAGACAGAACAGCCTTTTCCTCCTCCTCTTCCTCCTTCCATGGCTAATGATTCAATCAATGATTTGTTCTTAAGAAGCAAAAATCTTTATGTCACTCCACTTCACTATACTTCTGCATGTGACAAAGTATACACAATGACTTGATGACATAAATCACAATCAAGTTAAAGGTACAATATTCTGACGGATGCTGTTCATGAATCCTATCACATCCTAAACTGCGTAAAGCGGGGTAAGGGTAAGGCTTACACTCTACAGTTGATTCGTCGCGGTTAAATTGTAATTCCTCCATTTATTTTGTGCCGTTTAATCCTTTTCGGACTCTATAACCCTCTTGTCTTGGTTATGCTATTATTTTTTTTTTTTGTCGTAAATGGTTATGCTATTATTTGTGTGCATCGATTTGTCTACATTTGATCCTTTTACATTTTTTCAAAATATATTTTTAAATATATTTTTGTATCTCATACTGAAATTCATCATTTTTTACTTGTTACTTCTAAAAGGTTTAGATTTTCATCGTTTACATGATATAGAGGCACAAAGTATCAAGTAATTTTTTATCAACCTCACGCGATTGTCTTGAGGCACAATATAACTAGCGGTATTAAAACCAAAACCTTGGTTCATCTGACGCTCATCATCCATATTGTTTGTAGCTTAGCTCGGCTAAAAGTCGTTTCAGCCTTTAGGTCCTCGCCAGTTGCGGCGACTTTCGAACCCACAGAGTTGGCCGGAGATACATACAATTGACATCACCTCTATATGCCCTCATTAGGGTGGGATATGAGATTAATTATTAATACTCATCGATCTTTGGGAATGATTGTGATAATACACACACAAAAAAAATAAAAGAAAGAAAGACAAATTATTGGAGCTTGATTTAATACGCTAACATGCATGATGATTGACATGATGAGAGAGAGCCTCAAAAATGAATGACACCACAAATGACCGTGAGAAGCAGTGGTTCCCTCGTATGAGAATGCCTTGGTAGCAAAGTTTGCAATCAAATGGTAGAGCGGTTGGGAAGGGATGGATTAGGCGTAAATAACATGTCTCGAATTCGAGTTTACACTAACAAAAAAGTTTTAAAAAGGCAAATGTTACTTTACTCCCCTATGATTTAGTACCTTTTACATAACCTTTCTATGATTTCAAAAGTTTAACCTAACTTTCTCATGATTTGAATTAAAATATTAAAGTGACGGGATTTGTAATCCATAATGGAGTCAACTAAAATATAAAAATATCCTTATATAAAGTTGAAAAATTTGTTAACTACAGGGGTCTTATATATACATTATGAAAATCATAAGGGTCTTCTATAAGGCAAGAAGCATATGTAGGCTCTGGATTAACCGCTAAACCATCTCCCAAAGTTGCTTCTTTTATACCAAAAAAATCATCAACAAATAAACAATAAAAGCTCTCTCTTTCTTAGCACTTGCCATTGTTTTCCTTTCGTCCTAGTCCCGACATCCATCCCAAACAAGTGTAATTTTTTAATCCCAAAATTAAAAAGATATCCTAAAAAACCTCAACCAAGCAACAGCGATGCGAAGCAAATAATAAGAGCAAATGAATTAATTGAAGGCGAGAACATGATTAAAGTCATGATCCCAACATGCATGCATATGATTGGTTCAATTTATATACTATGTAGGATCATGAGATCAGGCACAACGTACAAAGTCAATTTACAGAAGAAAACAAATTATGTGAAGCAAATAACAAAGAGCAAATGAATCGGATTGAGTTGGATGTTAAGATGAAGGGACTGTAAGTAGGAGGTTTTGAGTTTAAAACTTTCTAGTTATCAAAGAAAAAAAAAGAAGCAATTAAATTAAGGTGTAATGTCATCTTGACAAGTTTGAACGGCCCAATTTATGAAGAATTATAAGACCAGGTACAACGTAAAACACCACATCACTTGCGAGGTTCATAACACATACGACCTCCTTAAACTAGAAATACATCGTTCAACTAGAAATATGAAAAAAAAAAACATGTATAAAATGACTGCTACAATTTACTAGCCCACTTTTGCCAAAGATTCTGCGCCACCATTCTTTATCCATCCAGAAACGACTGCAGGGAACTTCACAGAGATTTTGGCCCTTCATTTCCCGCGCCTCTTCCGGTCTGAACTAGAGGAATGAGGAAGCTTCGAGGGTGGACTGTTGGAGATAATACACAAGTGAATCAGATACTTCAAAAAAGTATGGCGTACGTTTACCATTAGGGTTAACTAACGCCTGCCGAGACACAATAACAAATAATAGCTGAAGTCAAAAGCGTCTCGCCCAATTAATTTTCCGCCTTTTAAGTCAAAAGGATTACGCATGCTGTCTGCAGAAGATAGACTATGCATGGATCAAATGTTTCACTCAGTTTGTAGTATTAAATTTGGTGTCTACAGTATTAAAAGGTAAAAATCATCCTTTAAGTATTAATAATCATTTTCACATCCTTGCGTGTGAATCGTGACAGATAATAATTGGCTTTAAACTTGATCCAAAAACTTTAATCTGTCTCTCCAGCTCAGCCACTCTTCCACTGTTATGTGGTGTTAAAGCAATATTAACAGAGCCTTGTTTAGATCAACACAGCATTCTCTATCTTACGACAATAATAGAACATATATTTTTATTAGCGAGAATCAAAAGTCTTCTTTTTTTTTTTTTGTAAACTAAAAGAAAAATATTCGTTAAGAAAATAAGAGAAAAGTTATTTGAAAGAAAAAAGGAAAATGAATACCACCATTCTGAACCTGGTAATGTCCATTAATCATTTGCATTCAAAAATTTTATAAATTGATTAGAACCTGCTTATTTTCCAACAACTTTAGCATGTATAACTCTAAATCAAGCATTAGCGCAGACTAATTGCTTCATCGGGTACCGTTGAATGGGTCAATGATGGGCCATCGATTGTCAAAAATGGATTTTTTGGTTCTCAACAGTCCATGGCCTCAAAATCGTTGTTAGACTTCCAATTCAGGAACACTAAAATCATTTACGCGTGTGTGTGTCTGTATACACACACACACACATATAGTTGACATCGCACATAATATTATCCAAAATCTTAATATTTTACTGATCAACAACGTATAATTGAAGACACATGTTGGCTATTAGATATGGACCCAAATTTCGTGTTTTGTTACATTAGAAGTGAACGTAAAATGTACGATATTTTACGCACTTATCATATTGGTTCCTCATACTAAAATGTATAAACATCCCGTGATTTCGGATTTGATTGTCTTTAAATATATATTTGATATTATGCATTATTTATTTGAAAAAAATGGATTTCTGTAAATTTAAGTTATTTGTGTACTTTCAACCTATTTTACAAAGGAGAAAGCCAAAGAAGAAATTTAGTCAATGCTCACCGAGATACTGTCCCGACATCTTCCAATCATAGCAACCGCCATTAGCATCGTCTCTTATTTTTTCCAAATCCAGGCCGTTACGATTCCTTCAAGAAATCAAATACCAAACCAAAGCCGCCATTGCTAAGAATTTTGTCAGCATTTTTTTAAACTAAAAGTACAAAATTAACAACGGAAAATGAAAGGGAACTAAGCTATATATATGGTCATATTATATATCTATATATATATATATATATATATATATATATATATATGAGCTATTATCATCGGAGGGATCGAGATTATAAGTAACCATGTAGAGTATTACTAAAGACTAACCTTGGTACATCACCGTCCTTCAACTTATGCACCTTTACTTCGTTTTTGTCAACGGCGGCAACAAATTTAGAGTCCATAAGATCGCCCTGCGAGACCTTCAAGTTAGTTGGATTGCCATCTACTGTGAAGAAGTAATCTGGAGCATAACCCAAATGTTCAGCAACACGCAGCAATTCATGTCTGCAGAACTTTACTTCATTAATTTGGGGGAGTGGATTGTGCTCTAGTAACTTAGCATTGGCCATACGTCGATCTACATCGGGGCACTTTTAATGGCCTTCAAACCGACATATTTGCCGGATAGACAAACAATTGATGTCTCAGTTTTATCATTGCCCATCTTTAGAAAAGGGATACTATGCAACACACAAAACTAAAATTGTGAAAAAAAAGACGGGTTAATCAGAGCTTGATTTAATACGCTAATAGAAATGATAATGACAAGAGAGAGGCCTCCCCAAGTTCAATGACACCAAAATGAGCAGTGGTTTTTCGTGTCGAAGGATGGGTGGTACTATTTATAGAGAAGGATGGGTTAATGCAATGGTACTAGTTAGTGTGTGTGTGTGTGGACATGCTGGGAAATTCATTAGCAATTCACTTGGCTTAACTCTGAAGCACAAGGACGTGCAACTGATTTTCGTTTTGACACCGACATGCAACTGCCCGAAAATATTAATATGTGAATTGAAAGGATAAACTTGGACAACCCTTAAGGCCTTTGACGTCAGCGGTGAAATTCTGCCAAAGATTACCTGAAAAGAGAAACCCAAAATTAGAAACATCGAGCTACTCTCCTGCCAATGCGAATTGGTTGTCATCGTGTTCCCTAATGGAATTTCCCTCTCCCAACTGCTTAATTTCCTGCCACAAGGTTGGGTTGGAAAAATTGCACTTGATGGGCACAGCACCAATTTTCCATTTTGGCGGGTTGACCACTACCATCATATATTTACTGGGCACACAATATATTCTTCAAAGAATTCTCTCAAGTCTAAACTGTGATGGCAACAAATGCATGGTATATTGCGGCTCAAGAAACTTTATCGTCGCGTCATTATAGTGACAATTTGTCTTTTCCATTCACATTTTAGGATAAATTATCTTTTACCTTCCGTAATTTTATATTTTATCGTAACCCCCACTATTGTTTAAAAACTTATATATAACCCCTTCGTGATATGAATTAATATATCACCGTTGGTTTTTCTTCTTCTTGCAGTATTAGTTCTTGGCCAGGATTCTTAGAAATGTTGAGTTTTTTTTTTTTTTTTTTAATCAAACCATGCTTCGGACAGTTTTTTTGCTTCGTCTCTGTTGCAACCAACTGATTACATGTACTTGTTCAACTCTGCACCAGTCTGTGTGATACTTAGCAGAATACAGTAGTTATTAACATATATTTCTGAAATCAGTAGAAACTTTGCCACCTTAAAAAATTTAGGGAAATAAATATTTTCTGCGCCTTGACACAGAGAGATATTGCACATATACACGTCAAATAATAAAGTGGATTAACATTAAAAATTGGAAAAAAAAATAACAAAGTAAATGTGACAGACATTTTTCAACAATTGGTAATTTTTTAAGGAAATAGTAGTATTTTAGAAATGTTCGGTACTCAATGTAGAATTTGAACAAATCAATATTTCTTCTACTTTTAACATTTTCCAATTATTCCTAATCCTTTTGATTTCAGAGACTCCAATCACTAGGTAGCTTTCACTAGCTACGATGTATGTCCAAATCTTACTCCGATTAAAATTTTTTATTGTGCTTCAGGACTGTGTACGTACTTGAATCTTTGAGCACACCCAAATTAACATAAGATTAATTACTCAAAGCTTTCAAATCCAAACAGGATTGAAGTTTCAAATATCTAGCATGCACCGTTAAAAGTATTAATTTTGGAGTTTGCGATATTAAGAAGAGATCAACGGCGTGATGCATTGATCCTAACTCTCCAAACGATATGGTATATATCCGAATCCTATATCTTGTTCGTTAAAGAATTTTCTACAGAACTTGCTTCAAGACCAGAAGTCATACAAAGTCTAAGCATTTTTACTCGTTGGTATAGCGTGTTTTACTCGTTATACCAACTTACTCCTAGTTGGTATATTGTGTCGATATTTTACTCGTTATATAGTCTATTGCATCGTAGTCGTGGTTCAACACGTTTTTTCAAATTCAAAGGACTTCTGAACAAAAAGATTAAAAGAAGTAGTCTCAGGAAGCAAAAAGTTCCTTTCTCATCGGATGATCCTATAGTTTGTTCTCAAGGGTCATCTGCTTAAATCCTAATTTCAGTACCCAATTAAATAGAATCCACAAAAGAAGAAGTCTCATTTAAATGGTCACCGCGTCCATATATAGTCTTCGGCTTCTTTTACATTCTTCCAACCCTGGTCATCGCCATCCCTTCAAGAAATTAATCGAGTACAAGACCAAAGCCACTATCAATAATTATGTGAACCCGGAAATTGAAAGATTGTGTACTATTCTTTAGCCTAGACAGACTACAATCGTGGGTTCTCTACCGTACTCTATCCATCCCATGCATCATTATTTGACCCTTTTACAAATAATGAGAGCGCAGTTGGTAAGGTTATATTGGTGTACCCCTAGTCTTGTTAGTTTGCCATCCACCTTCGTCCTGAATATTGGAGGACGAAGCTGAATACTTTGCAACATCGGTTTCGATCTGCGCCAGGTTTTGTTGCCTTAGAGAGACGTTTATATTGATTGGCCTGTAAATAATACGAGCAAACAATAATATGTCTTCTCATGACCCATTCTTTCAATTTTTAAGGTGGAAATCATGAACAATTGAAGTCGTCGGGCCGATGAGAGTTCGAGGCCTGAATATTACTTACTACTTATGGGCTTGAGTTAATTTGTTTGAAACTCAGCTTCCGGTGAGCTACAATTTCGTGTAAAAACTACCCAGATGTCAATTTAGTTAATCTTTCTATAGATGAGCACTTTTTCTTTTTCTGAATTTACTATAAATCGAGATGGTCGTGTTGTAAAAGAAATACTATATAGAATGACCAATTCTAGGATTGAAGCACAGAATGAAAGTAGGAGTCCTCAAACAAATCCATCACTTGTCGTCGTCTATCATTCGCAGATAAAGATAATGACGATTAACTTTTGTGTCTAATAATATGGCGTACTTTTGTAATTATAAGGAAAATGTATCAAATTTTTCATGTCCGTACCTATATTGATAAATAACTATAATAATAATTTTATAACCATGATAGGATACTTTTATGGTATTTTATTTATAAGATAGAAAATAAAATGTTGAAATAATTGATTCAGAGTTTATGAATTTTTTGAGTGGTGAGATTATCATAATTTAGTAGTGATTTTGGGCATTTCCTTTTAATTTATTGTTAATTTTAATACCGAAAAAGAAAAGAAAGATTAACAAAAAACATCGGATTACGTATAAAGCTAACTCATCAAAAAATTCATTAGTTCGCCGTTTAGTTACAATAGAAACTAGAGATAATAGTGGTAATTTTACAATTTTATTGGCAAAAAATTAAAATAAAAAGGAATAAGAATGAAAAAATAATTTTAAAGTCATTCTAAGCATAAGCATATCAAATAAGGGAAATTCATTAAAATATTGAAGGGTAGTATTATCATTTTAAATGACAAGGGAGGTATGCGCAATTTTTCAAATTTCATGGGAGCTCAGTGAAATTGTCAAAAAACCTCAGGGGAGGTTTCTGAAATTATCCCAATATTTATACCTAAATCATCAGTCAGCCAGAATGCTCATCCATTGAAACACACATGAGGTAGCCTCAGCTCCACAGCCAAGTCCTAGTTTTGCCTTGTTAAAGGCGTGCGTCTCCAACTTGCAACTGCATCCTTCACAGAATCAAGGACAGCAGAAATTATGCTAACGGCAGATACTGAACCTTGCTGAAAAATAGGCCAGTTTCTTGCCCTCCACAATTGGTACGCCACTAACAAACACAAGTCTCTTCACCTAGTCCGTAAAAGAGTTTGAGGTACAATGATCCCGAGCATAGAATTTTTTTCGGATCTTCTATTTTTGATAAAAAATAAGGAGAAACTCAAGGCTATTATTTGCGACCTGGTCTTTTTGCCATGTGTCCCAATTATCAGGTAAATCTCACAATCATTGAAACAATAGTTGTAATGTACTGTATTGAAATATATACTCTTTTCCATGGGATCATGCATTCTGGAAAACTAAAAAAATAGTTCTTTAATTTTCCTTTGATATCAACACACTTCACCCATTTAAAATGATGAAAGATGAGAATAAGTTTTCATGAAAGTAATTTTTTTTCCATGCTACTCATTCCCAGCATCAACATATAATGGGTTTGCTTTATCTTTTTTTCTTGTTGATTTAATCCCCATTAAAAAGCATACGCTGTCGATTTAGTCCCTATTAAAAAGTTTCTTTTCATTTTTTTTTTGGTTCCCCTCAATAGCAAATTAGCAATGCTATTATACAAGTGGAACTGAAAATGAGAGACATGCAACAAAAAGTAGGAAGGGATAGGTGAAAGATTGGGACACATGACAAAAACGCGTGGAAAATGGGGCCGAGGATTGGAACTGCAGCGAACTTGGGTCTATGTCAAATCATATAAGAATGCAAATTCGAATTTTACAATGATTGTGTTAAACAAAATTGATCCAAAACGGAAGGGAGGATTATATTAAAAGGTGGATTTCCTTCAAAAATCTAGGCGGGTGTATAGTACATTCGTTTGATCCAATCCCTTTCGAGTTATCTCTGGACTTCCTTAGGTCCACTCTCTCCCTCTAGTATAAAATAGATTAAAATATACTACAGTTATCGTTTCCGGTAAAAAAAAAAAAAAAAGGGAAGGGAGGATAATATACTTGATACATCCTCCGGAATAAATACATGTTATCACTTTCTGCATAAGCTTTCGCTTGAACATTGAGCCAAATACAAACATTATCACACCTTTGCCATAATTTTGTGAGAAAGATCTTAAATTGCTGTCAAGGTGCATAAAACATACCAATCGAATATCAAAGTTGTGTTTGTGGCAAAGATCTTTTCTTATTTTTTTTTTTCTTCTTGGGTATGGAGTAGTCATTTGAAACGCAGATGAAAAGAAGAGAACCAAAAAATAAAAAAGAACAAGAACTACCGAGAAGGCGTACATATATTTGCCCAACTATATACATCTTCTGCATACACATTGCACCACAC